AGCAGAAAGTTCAGCAATTATGAGTGGGTATATAACGTGCAAAAAATAGAAAAGTATGTTGTTTGTACAAGTGTATATATAATTGATTGCAGTTTTTAAAAGGCGCTTTGAATCCGCAGTAAGCAGAATGCAAAACCTCTGACTACTGTATTTAAGTACTGGTGTCGACATAGTGGTGATATATAAACGTACCTCTGTTAAGTATTTGTTTATATGAATATACATATAAATAGTTAGGATAGTAGCACAGGTTTTTGAGTTAGCAGACTTTTGTAATGTATTGGCATCTTAATAACATGGTGGTGCAACTCGAGTAAGATGCACAAACACAATTTATTGATATAAATATATAGTTGAATGGTTGTAATAGAATCAGAGAGTTTAGAGTCCGCGGTAAGCAGACTTGGAAAGATCAGACTGTATTTAGAGACTAATATTGGCATTTTAATGACATGATGGTGTAACTGATATAGGATGAACAAATACAGTTTATTGGTATGAATATATACATGAATGGTTGTAATAAGAATAGAGAGTTTAGAGTCTACAATGAGCACACTTGGAAAGACACGGCTACTGTAATCGGAGACTCGTAGCGCTATATTAATAGCACGTAGGCTTAGTTTTAGTAAGATATGTACACCTGGGGTAATCGGACTTTTGCATGTGGATGCCGATATTAGCATATTATGGGTTTGCTGATATATCTCAGATATCTCATATAAGTAAAATACAATTATGAGAGAATACAAGTTATTTATTTCAGCGCTTACAAAGCGGTTAGAGTACGTAGTAAGCAACATAGTTTAATCAGATTAATATTGATGAGAACAGTATTTGATATCACCATAGTAACAGGTGAGTATAAGCATTGTGAGATAAATAAATCTAGTGTGTTGACAGCTGTGTTTGTGTGGTATATTTTGTTTTTTATAACAGTTTTACAGTTCACAGTGAATAGACTTGGTACACTAAGACTCGTGCACATATTCAAGGGAACCCGAATCACCATAGAAACGAGTAAATGTAACGTTCTTAGAAAATAAAGATTCATGTGAGTATATATGGAAACCATTTCATTTTTAATAAAATCAGTATACTCTATAACTCTTATAATACGCAAGATTGTTATGTTCGATCCTGTTTGCTTATTCGCACAGAATAGCGGGATGACTGTGAGTAGAAATATTATTGCAGATACAATCTGGACATCCTTTATCCGGACCTGATTCTGACACTTTTATCATCGACTTACTTACACGGATGGGCGCGAGTGTGTGTACTATGCAAATATGACCGTTAGCACGTGACTTTGTAAGTCTATCCATCTGACACCATGGTACACATACGAGCATACCTTAGTAAATAATCAAGTATATTACAGGTATTTTAATTAGTTAATTAGGAAACCAAGATGACCTCCCCTGTCCACAAAACTATATATTTTCGGAAAGCTTATTGTATGAATTTTAAAATTTTGTTAGTATTTTTTTATGGACACTGTAGTTTGAAATATGAAGGCGTTTTGAAGATAAACACATTGTTAATCATTTGTGAAAATTTCAAAACAAAAGGTCAAAGCGTCTAGGAGCTATTTTTTTTTAAAGTTCCGGGATGTGCACTAAAAAGATGCTGAGATAATTGCTAATTTGCATAACAAATGTCTGTAACAGTTCTAAATTTAAATGTATTATCGTTTTGTTAAAAGTTAAATATAGTGCATAATATGGAGTTCCCGTCATTTCTTTTTTTCACCATGTTTCTTTTTTAATATTTATGTACGGCTTTGCTAAATCTCGCTGAGCATTCAAAATAGAGAATGTTTGCACCTGTTATCTATATTTTAAAATCGTTTTTTGAGTATGTTCCACCATTCACAATTCTACAAAATTTTAACAGTCTATAGCCAAGACTGCATTCCTGCTATGCCATGCCGCCCTCAACGACGGAACGAGACAGTGAGTAAATAGGTTGAAGGGAGCAAGGACCTGTTCAGGCTGTATACCAAGTTCATAACCAAAATTGGATGGTCGCTGTTATTGTAGTTGCAGTAGTTGCGCTGTTTTCAAAATTCAGTTGAAAGGGTTGCTTTTGATTTTACAGAACACTCTACGTTTACCACCCAAGTGCCCCGGAGGTTGGGGAGCCCTGAATGACAAGTATGCTACTTACATTCAATACACGTTATACATTAACCTATACGTGGGCCATGTACAAACACTGGC